ATCACGGAAACGTTCGTCACAAATGAAAGTAATTCCGTCAAAATTACCATATTGAAGACTCCTAGAATCTATGACGGATTCCGTCACAAGCAGTCTTTTTTTGTCAATAATTTGTCACTACGTAACAAAATATTTTCCCTAAAATTGTGACGGATTCCGTCAAAGTCAAGTTTTTGCAGTCAATAATCCGTCCCTAAACTATGTGACGAATTCCGTCACAAACAGTTTGTGCTGTCAATAATCCGTCCCTAAACTATGTGAATGATACCGTCACAAACAGTTTGTGTTGTCAATAATCCGTCAATAAGCATCAAAATATTTTTCTTAAAATCTGTGACGGATGCCGTCATAAACAATTCATGTTGTCAATAACTCGTCACCAATGAATGAAAGATTTCGTAATATATTTGTGTCACATAGAGCATCACAATTAGTCACCAATCCTCTGTCATAAACACTTTGTCACAAATTATATGTATCAAAGAAATGTACTACAAAACCAATAAAATGATCATATAAGTATATTAAGACAACCATTATCTCTGTTGCGATATTTCAAAAGTTTGCTAATATATCTATTGGTAAAATGCTAATACAAATGTCGAGCCATAAATATCTTATAACAAAGACCCAATCTCTAAACAATTATCCTGTATCACCCCCAACATCCGCAAGCCATGTTATCATCATTTATATTTCTCTCCCTCTCATCCCCTCAAACCCCACCTGTTCATCTTGGACGATCTTTTCAATTTTACAATTTGACAACTTCATCATGTATCTGCGTAGCACGTGGTCCCTGCCCAACACTAGTCTCACATTTGCATCTTTACGAATAAGATAAACTGCATCTGACAATGTAACACACAAAGGAGAAATTTCAAATAAACTAAGTCCAATTTTCTTACATAAAGCAGAACACCAAGAGAAAGAATACCAAAAGAAAATTACTGAGAAATACTAGCGAAAATATACGAGTACATAATTACATGCATTGACATAATAAAAACAAGAATAGAGAATGTTATTAAAGAATCACTTGAGATGCCTGATAAGACCTACACTAGGAACAACCTTGATGCTCTGCCATTTGAACTTCTATATATCATCATAATTCTAGATGGCGAGTCCTTGGGGGATTTTGAACTAATGAAAAAAAAATTCAGAGATAGTGTGGTGCTTGCATGCAATGATGAATCGTATTGTTCACTAGATCCCAGAACTAAACATATCCAATCTTACCATGTATTAGTGATTTCCATGGTTTCGGGATGGTAGGATCTTCGATCACATATGGTAGGATCTTCGATCACATACCGTATACCAATTACTATAGCCGCTAAGCTTCCGTATTGAATATCCTGCCATCAGAAAATCAACAAAGATCAGAAATAATAAGAGGTATTGCCCAAAATATTAAACAGTTAAATTACCAAAACGAATATCTAAAAAACAAAATGTGCCAATTAGAGCCAACCATCGTATTCCAAGATTGAAGACAAATATTTTGATTAAAAAAGGAACAACTATTCCAAGCAAGAGCATAACCAACCTGTAGAATGGCCTGATTATACAAGTACCATTTTAATGTTGGAACAACTTCATGAGTATAAGCTGTGGTCCCCATGTAGGTGTTAATGTACCCTTTATGTGAAGAGGGAGACGAAACAGAAGCTGCAGAGCTTCTGCTTATGCGCAGGACTTAAAACGTCTTTGGACCTCAGGGTCCATCTAATTAAAACACATTCAATAGTTTCGAATTCGCATCATTTAATTATAATTACCTACAAACATCGTTCATTGTTTCGGAAAGTACAAATACATACATATAATAAAATGCATATCTCTTATGCCTCTGCATATAACAACCACATGCTAATGAACTTCAAAATTGCGGGTTAAAATCTAGAATAATATAACTACTTATTTAACATATAGGGTTTACAATCAACCATCTAGGGGGTTATATATACATAAAAAATTAAACCCATTCAACTAAAAATTGAAGATTGAAATCAACATCAGCTACAAACCTAATTCTGAAATTGGATGAAAATGATAAGAGGTAAACTACACCTGCAACTTTTGAGTAAGAAAATGACCGTCGACGCTGAAGGACAGGGTTGAACGAGCTCTCTATCCCTTTTCCTCGTCCCTGCTTCTCTGTCGCCGCGGTCTCTCCATCTCCGGTGGATTAAGCTCTCTCTCTCTGGTGAAGTGAATCTCTCTCACCAATGGGGTAAAGCTGTTCGCCGAGGATTGAAGTGATGAGATGTGAGCGGCGGTTTTGGGGGAAGACAATGAAAACCCTCCCGTTCGTCATTTGTGTGTCTGATAGGTTAGTATTTTCATTTTAAGTTATGGCAAGTATTTACATATATATTATTTTAAGTTAATTAAATAAAGGGTATATATATTATTAATTTTTTTTTAAATCAATCAAAACACCAAGTAATCAAAAATTAAAACAAAAATACCACCTTCGAATTTCATTAAATAGAGATATATTATTATTACTATTATTTAAATTAAGTGTGTATTTGGCAAAAATATAAAAGTTAAATTAATTTGTTAATTTTGCTATCGGTTTTCTTTATTTTATTGTTTTAAAAATTATATATTGGCATAAAATAACAAAGTTATAATTATATCTTTTATTGGTGAATATCTTTGAGCTAATAAATTATAAAATTAAATAATAATTGTAACAACTATAAGATTAATTATAAGTATTTATAAAAAAATCAAAACATTTGTATAATACAAGCAAAAATTTAACATTAGTTTACTCACTAGTTAAGAGTTTAATTGGTGATTGATTACTGGCATGATTTAAAATATAATAGATTTACGACTAATTATCATTTAAAATATAATAGATTTATGACTAATAATCATTGACCTATAACAAAATGTGATATATTTGTGACGATTCTGATAATATGACAGATTAATGGCGGAACTTAAAATGTAATGGATTTGCGACATAATAATATATGACGCATCTGTGACGAAAAGCATATTGTGATGGATTAATGGTGGACCTTAGAAATGACGAATTTGTGATCAAATTATATGTGACGCATTTGTGACGGCATGGATATTTTGACGGATTAGTGATGAAATGTAGAATGTGACAAATTTTCGACCGAATTATATATGACGCGTATGTGACGAAAAGTATAATATGACGGTATTGTGACAAAACTTAGATTATGACGGATTTGTGATCGAATTATATGTGACACATTTGTGACGAGAAGAACTTAGTAACCGATATGTGACTGATACTAATGAAAGTGTAAATTTATAAACCAGTTGTGATGGATATTATCACGGAATAAATTTCTGTCGCAAAATCGGTGACCGAAATGTGATCGAATATTCTTCGTCACGCAATTAGTCACATAATTCATCACATACCTGTCACAATAAATTGCATTATTTTTTGTTTCAAATTGGTCACAAATTTGTCACTAATTTGGTCACTCATCGTGACAGATTAGGTTCGTCACTAAATTTCTGTGACAAAAGCCTTGTTTTTTGGTAGTGCTTGAAAAAAATAAAATTTGACCTTTTCTTAGATTCATTTATTCATGGAATTTTAGAAGTGACACTAACATGAATTATAAACTATGATATGCTTACATAATCATACGATACAATGATTACGTACAATTTATGCTTCTCACGACCATAAAAAAATATTTATAAATAAATAAAGGCATGTCTTTGCTTATAAATAGTCAAATCCAAATGCAGATTTTTACACCATAAAACAAAATTTGCTTAACTAGTAAATAGAGAGTATAAATTATATAATTAATTAAAAAATTATCGCCATGGCCGAAGAAGTCAAAGTCGAAGTCGAAGTCGAAGTTGATGTCAAAGTCGAAGTCGAAGCAGAAGAAGAAGTGCATGATTATGATAAAGAACGAAAGCATCACAAGCATCTACAGCAATTGACTGGCCTAGGCGCCATGGCTGCCGGTGCCTATGCCTTGGTACGTACATACATTTTTACCAAAAAAAAAATTATATTATTTTCATTAATCAATAATAAAATATTTCATTATTGATTAAATGATGGAATAAATTTATAACCAGCATGAGAAACACAAGGCAAAGAAGGATCCGGAGAATGCACACAAACACAAAGTGAAGGAACATATAGCGGCGGTTGTGGCGGTTGGAGTTGGTGGGATTGCGTTTCACGAGGGTCACGAGAAGAAGGATGCTAAGAAGAAATCTAAGGAATGTACTTAATTAATTCCCAATTATATTGTTTCAAATTTTTATTGCATCGTGATAAATTGTGTTGCTTTTTTTTTTGTTTTTTTTGTTTTTCTTTTTCATGTCTTATGGTATGTGATCGTAAGGCTAAAGTGGCCTATGTGTTATGTGTGACGTTTAAATAATTATTGAACTGCCTTCTATTTTCTAAGCATTTTTCTACAATTGTTGTTTCTCATAAATCTTTAGTATAATTGCTGCCCAAAATCAAATTCCTTTATATTTATGTTTGTTTATTTATAAATTATGATTTTGACAAATGGCGTGCTGTAATTGTGTACAAATAAGTTTGGCTTTTTTTAGTACAGTAATTTGTGCGTAGTTGTATGGAGCCTAAATATGAATACAGTTTTGTAGATGCTACACTCGGTGCAATACACCGGGTGATTCTGTACACATTGATCTATAAACAATAGCACAAATTCATTGATCTACACACAAAACATCTCATAGAACAAATTATAGTTATAGCAGTGGGTACAAAAATAAATATGTAAAAGCGTTACACTAAATCCCTTCATAAATAAAATGTTCTATTAGTGGACCCTTCATTATTTGTTTTAATAGAATTAAATTCACTTTGTTATTTGCATTTAATAGACCCCTTAACTTCTTATAATTTCATCTTTCCCTTACATTATTCAATTCTACAACCCTGTTACCCACTACATACATATCTTTTTTATTTTAATTTCCAGCAGATTATATTTACCACATCAGAAATAACTACAAGTTACAATAATCAACTACATTATTTATTTACTAAAATCATAATTAACTACAAATTACAGTAATCAACTACAAATTTTATTAGATAATCAACTATATTTTATTAAGTAATCAGCTATAATTTTAACATACATTCAATTGAAATCAACTATTTATTATAACAAAAACGACTATAAAAATACTCATTCCAGCGATAAAATCCAAAAAAAAAACTAACTATTAAAACAACCGAGACTTCTGAAAATCGACTATAGAACAACAAACAATCCCAACAAACTCTCACGCCGCCACACAAAAATGACTGTGAAAACAACCGAAAAACAACTATAAAAAATTTAACAAAACGACTACAAAAAAATCCAAAGCGTTAATATGTAGTTGTTTTTATACAGTTCAAAATAACTACAAATTATGAATCTCCTTCAATACTTCCTCTTTGGACCTGCACCGCGCGAGAAGGGCCGCAACCAATATCAGAACCTAGCCTCGCTATGTGAAATCTAGTGCCGCCACCAAAACACAATGTCACCAAACCCTAGATTGCAGCCAACACCAACACAACCGTCGCCCAGAAAAACAATTATTGTCTACCCTAGCACGATCGGCCACTGATGTCGTTATTCTCACCGTCTAACCCTAGCCGCCGTGTCTCTCGCTGTAGAAGAAAGGGGGAAGAGAGAAGTAAAGAGAAGGCGATAGAAATGGAGAGAGAAGTAAAAAGAGAGCGAGAAAACACATAGAGGGAACATAAAAGATAGAGTGAAAAAGAGGCTGCAAATAACATGATGTGTTTTGGGGTGGATTTTTGGTGGAAAATATATGTCTTATATGGATGTAATAGGAATATAATAGCATTAGATTTAAGATTACTATACAAGTCAAACGAGAGGGGTATTGCTAAATGGCGAAAAAAGATTGAACCTATACTTTAGGTAAATGTATTTTGAGGAGGTTCTACTTAATTAACCCTAAATAAAATATAATACATTTGCCCCTTTAATGGTTATATTGGTCTTAAAAAAATAGCATGTCAATAGGACATGTAGACAAGGGTAAAGTCAGAAATTTATTAAATTGAATATTCTCTGGAATCTTTAAGATTTCGTTAGTATTACTCCGTAAGAGTATGTACAACGGCACACTCCAAATTCTCTCTCCGATCAGCGGACTCCAAATGACATATATTCATTTTCATTCACTTTTAACTTTTCTCTAAATAATGGGTGTCCACCTTTATCACTCTCCAAATTAAAATTGATTCAATGGGTATATTTTGTTGCTCTTCAAATATCAAATTATAATAAAATATTCACTATTAATTTAAATGTTTGTGAAATTAAATTTTCATTTTTATTAATAAAATTGATATAATTAATTGTATTTTGAAATTATGCTAGTTTACCTAATTATTTTATAGCATTTAATCATATTATGATTTGCAATAGTTTATATATTTTTATCTATTTACTGGAATATATAAAAAATAACTAAAAATATGAAATGTTAACATAAAATTGACATATATATATGAAGTAAAACAACCTTAATAATAAATGGTCATCTATTATAATCATTTTTTTTGTTAAATATAAATACACTATTTTTTTTAAATATTAAACTTTGAGTATAATAAATAAATAAATAGAACTCTAAAAAACTTGTTTCTCTAAACGCATAAAAGAAAGTTTTTCATAATTAGTAATAAAATGAATATAACCAAACTGCAAAATTTTAAAATGGACTAATATTTTTTACAGAATAAAAATAAATAAATAAAAAATGTATGGGTCTACTTTTTATGGCTAGAGTGCTCAATAACTTTAGTCAAAACTTGAAGGATTGGCCAAATAGGGCAAGTAATATAGAGGACTCTTCGATCCAACTGCAACATTATTTACTCTCCAAAATTTGGAGAGTTTAAAAGTCTGACACTATCGTGCATTTAAAGAGGATGATGTACATGTTCTAAGGTAGTTCTTGTAAGAAGGGATATACCTGAGGGACAGTGATGAATTCACAAAATTTTCCAAGGGTGTGCAAAATATTAAAACAATAAAAGTAATGCAAAATACAAAAAATAAGGAATGTATAATAAAATATTTGAAGTGTACAATTTTCATACGTAAAGATAAAGTTTATAAGATTTGTCGACGTGGTCCCATTTCTTGAAAATAATTCATGACTTCATCAATATCAATGGTCACTAACACATTTTTTCAATGTATGAAACCCAAAAATCATTTAACATTTGTTCCTCCATCCGACTACGAAGTTCTGACTTAACAAAAGCTTCATTGTAGACAATATTCTTTCAATTTAAGTGGTTGAGACGGGCATATTAATGACAACTTCAACAATAAGTATATCGACGAATGAGTAACATTCTTTCTCTTTGCAACCAACTTCTCAGCAAGCTTACTAGTCTCCGCTATATTTGAAAAGTTTTGATCATTCCTAACATCTCTAATATAATTCTCAAGTAGACTCTCAAGCACTATAAGACCATTATCATCAAACTCATTTCGATAAAACTCGGCTATTTAATTTCACCAAAGCTTTTGTGTCAAAAGAAGAGAATGAATGACTTGGATCGAAGCATACTACAACAAAATATATGCAGATTGGAACATTTTGTTAAAGACATTTTTTTTATAAATGCTTAGAAATCGAGCATTCTTTGTTCCAAATTCGTATTTATAACAACCACTTGTATCAAGTTTTGCGTAAAAAAATCGTTCACATAACCTCATTTTTTGTAAGAAATATGTTATTGCATACATTAATTACGATGAACCATAGTCTGGAAAATTAAGCCACTCATCTACATTCACAGAGGTTATATCTGCTTCCGTGTCGGAAGCGGTAATTGTCCCAGTAAAATTGTTCCATGGACGAGAATTTGATGTAGATACCCCAAAATTATTCATGACATTTTGTGGCAAAGAACTCATAGGGCAAGTAGGTTGAACCCAACTATAGTCATACAAGTTAGGAGTTGCATTGTTGACTTGATTTTGAGTTTCATAAGAGTCAACGAACCCGGAGATTTGTTGAGGTAATTCATGTTGTGATGCTATTGGCTGAATATTCCAATCACGTGGAATTTCCATATTGGCACCACCATTGCCGAATTGATATCCAACATCCCGATGTTGATTAATACCATCTGATTGGATCAAAGTTTGTATAGCATCCAAACAAGAGATCTCATCATTGAAATAATATGAGTTCGATGGAGATACTGTTGTAGACATGTTTATGATCGGTTGGATCATAGATGTATCTAAACGTTGAGGAACCATCGTGGCCATGGGCGTCAGTGATTGTACGTATTGTAGGCGTTCTTCTCCTAATCGCAATGGTGGCTGTGAGAGTTGAGTTGTGGATCCGTACGTGTTGACGATGATTCTTTCATTTGCTTATTGTTCTTATGTTTACCTCCAATC